CTTTTAAATCTGGTACTGTAAAAAAAAAACAAAATCTAATTTGAGTTTTGAATAAATCTAATTTGAGATAAATTTTTTGGGCAAAATTTAACGTTCTTAGTAACATTGTTGCCGTGTGCAGTTAAATTAAAAAATACAATTGTAAATCAATTTCAACTTCAAATACGTGAAAAAATTTTGAGTACAAAAAGGGAGGTCTTTTAGTAACGCTTATTTTCGCAACATGTAAATGGAAAATGAGCTTTAACAAAACACACACAAGTATCTATTGAAGTCTTGCTATCTATTGTTTTTGTGAAAATTTTGTCAATGTTCATTACCATTTTTATTTTGGTTTGGGTTTTTAAATTTTGGGGGCCCAGTCTCTGGACCATTAGTGCCTTGGAAATATTTGGACTACCGCCACACCAGGGGATGGTGTGGCTGTTGCCCATCCCTAGGTTGCTGATTTCACCCATACCAAGAGTATAGTGATTACCATCCACACCATAGGTATGGTGTGACTACTGTCCATAGGACAGGTATGGGGTGCATTATAAATCTCTCAACCCTAAACTGAAAACCTAATCTCAAAATCTAAATAAAAAAAAAATACATTAATTCACTTGTGTTGTCATAACAAACTCAATCAAAATTACCCACCATTAACAGCAAAAAAAAAAAATTATATATACATGTATATATATATATATACTGCCTTAAACACAACAAAAACATGGAATGCCATAAGCGACTATATTTCTTAACTTAGTTTGAAAAGTCGAGGATTATATCAGAAAAGGCATCCTCTATTTTGTATAGCACGAAGTTTTAAATAATAATGTGGTATTTATGAAATAAGGAACTTTATTTATTATAATAATAATAATAATAATAATAATAATAATAATAATAATAATATTATATAAATAAATTATACACACACACAAACGCATGCATGCACACGCGCACACATGCACACACACATGCACACGCACACACCACACACAGGATGTTTCAAAATGATGGACCCATCTTTTTAAAACACCTTGTATATATATTTATATAATTTCGTGTGAAGTACTAAGATTGACAGTCTTAGATTCCATCCTTCAACACCAGTAATTCGGATATTCCTGCCATTTTCAGCTCGGTCAATCCACTTTCGATTTTGTACTGAATATTGTTTTCCTATGTCATTGCTGCTGTGACCCCACAACTTATGCCAATTGTTGATGAACTGTGTCCCAAGCGCCTTCCTTGGTGGTTCTGTAACTCCTAAATTTAATTTTACGACCACTTAAGAGACTGTGTATGCAAGCGATCAATTAGTTATTGCCTTATTAGTCTTGAGTTTGCCCAAAATGCTCTGTATGTTAAGGGGCTTTCTGCATGTACACCCGAATGTCATTCACCTCTATGCAAACATTCTATTATGCTGAAATAAGGTATATGACTCTGAAAAACATTACTTTCTGTTTAATGTGCAACTGTTAGGCAACTTTATTCCGAAACATTTTTGCCTACGCAGTAGGTTTCTTCAGTCAAATATAGAGGCATCTGCAGAAACAGTAAAGATGTAACGACGCTGTAATCAGTCCATCACCCTTGAAGACGTAGTTTTGAGGTGGTCATTCCCTCATCTGGAACATTTTTCCGATTATGGGTCAGCTCTTCCCCGGGCTGAGGTTTGGACCACCCCCAATACTAGTCTTTCAGAGTGAAGGACTGATTAATCGTTTTTTCATCTCTATGATAGGTAAAAGTTTTAAAATGAACATCCCCCAACGTTGCACCTGAGTCTTACTTATAAAACCCTGTTGGTTTTTGTATACCTTAAATTAACATTTCGTTTTACAACTGGGCCCACGCAGGGGGGATGTACCAGGGGCCAAGCCCAAATGCAACAAAAAAAAGCAATTACATCGAAAAGGAAGGTGGGAGCTGCTGACCTAAAAAGTGGAAAGTGAAACTGCTGACTTTCCGGGAGGTTTTTCTGAGAGATCGCCCATCCCAGGGGTTCACGAATTACACAAATAAGTTTTAATTCTTCAATAACTCAATGGAAGATAACCAGAGCAAAATGATCTTAAGACCCTTTAATTTTAAGCGTGGGAGGCGAGAGAGAAATGACACACACATACACAGGGGGTAAACTACAACAAGTGTCTACTATATATAATGACCCGGAAATTTAAATTTTATTTATTCTCTCCCGGGTGTCCAAGTAGATGAAAATAATTAAAAAGAATTTGAACAGCATTTTCAAATTTGGGTTATCTTCGGTTTTTTTTTACCTGTTTTTTATGAGTGATATTATACTACATTTAAAGTATTAGTTTTAATATACATACACACACTCAAAGTAATTCTAGGGGGGGAAAAAATTTTGAGGGGAAGGGAAAGTATTGTTTACCAAAATTTTAACATTATTTTTTAACTTCTTGGCCTAAATAAAGGAACTTGTTAAGAAACTGACACAGATCATTTATAAAAGTCCAACATAAATATGCACATTTACACTCGTGTCTCCATTGATAACAATTGCAGTACGATATCACAAAACAGCAGTTGATTCCTGTACTTGGTATGCTAATCTAAAGATTGGAATCATCCCAAGAGTGGAAGTACAGCGGAGGAGAATACGACAGTACAGAGGGCGGCCAGAGACGCGGCGTTCGGTAAACTCCTTACCATATATATAGTCAGCTTTCTTATAAATCTCCTCTATATTCTGTTTTTTTTTTTGGAAATGAAATTTAAAAAAAAAAAAAGGCATTCAAATTGAATTATGACCACTATAAAGACCTTTCAATGAGCAGCTGAATCTCCAATTTACTCTCTCAATTAACAAAAATCACACTGTACAGGAGATTTAATAAGAGAACTGACTGTATATAGTGGGGCTTTATAAGAGTGTTCACTGTGGTCAAATCATTAACATATCCTATCATCTTATAAGTTACTGCTGCTTAACACACACTGTGTGCATCACTGCAGTGTGCAGTGATGCACACTGCATCACTGCACAGACTGAATATACTCGAGGTATTAATGTACACTGGGCATCGCAGGGGGGGAAAAAAGATTTCCGGAGGTAAATGCGATAAACACACTCCCAATCACGGTGAGAACCTATCCCGTCGTTTGCCAAACGTAGCTCCTGGTCTGCGCCCTCCATGTATACAAAGTTTTACACTTACAAATGCACTTCAAATACCTGTATATATGGAAAACACAAATATGAACCATGAAGCTAAATCTATGGGAGGTACAGTAGTCACCAACTTACAAACAACTTGTATTCCTTGGTGTTTTATCTTACAAACAAGTTGCATTTCTTGGTGTTTTATCTTACAAACAAGTTGCATTTCTTGGTGTTTTATCTTACAAACAAGTTGCATTTCCTGGTGTTTTATCTTACAAACAACTTGTATTTCCTGGTGTTTTACAAACAAGTTGCATTTCTTGGTCTTACAAACAAGCTTTTCTGGTGTTTTACAGTTTTATTTCCTAGTGTTTTATCTTACAGTTGTATTTCCTTGTGTTTTAACTTAGTTGCATTCTTGGTGTTCTAACTTACATACAGTTGTATTTCTGGTGTCTTGTCTTACCAACATGTTGCAGACCCGTTGCATTCCTGGTATTTATCTCTCAACTGAGATGAGGCCTTACTGTCTACAAGTTGTTTGTGTACACAATAATAAGTACATTGGTTGGCTATACTTCATACACACACTTTTACTGCAACTCGGTGCTTGTGAGTGTTTTAATTGGGTTTGTAAATGGCCTCTGCTTGTTCCAGAGTGGTCACTGTTAGTTTTAAGTTAGGTTTAACATTACCCGAAATGCTCTGCATAACTACGGGCTTTCTGTTGAATGCGCTTTCTTCACACACAACCAAACATCACCCATCTCTGTGTAAACACTGTATCATGCAGAAATAAAATTTTGTCTTTGTAAGCGTTGGTGATTTTAACCTGTAGCATTTGTAAGTTGATGGCATCCTGTACCATACACAACTATGGTAAACCATATCTGTACGAGATGATGTAAGTAGCGTAACTGTGTAGAGAGCAGAGTGATCTATCAGCACAGTATTTGCATGTATCGTATCAATAATGGCAGACAGTACCAATGAGCTGATGAACAAGACACACACACAACACCTGGGTATCTTTGTTCCGAATAAAGATATCCGGGTATTGTGCGTGTGTCTTATTCGTCGACGTGAGTAAATGCCCGGGTATCAGTGGGCCCACCAGGAAAGGATCTGCTCATTTATAGTCTCATTTCCACCATAGATAAATTCACTCATACAGCAGGGTCCCACATATACAGCAGGGCCCCACATATACAGCAGGGCCCCACATATACAGCAGGGCCCCACATATACAGCAGGGCCCTACCTATACAGCAGGGTCCCAGATATACAGCAGGGTCCCAGATATACAGCAGGGCCCCACATATACAGCAGGGCCCCACCTATACAGCAGGGTCCCAGATATACAGCAGGGCCCCACATATACAGCAGGGCCCCACCTATACAGCAGGGCCCCACATATACAGCAAGGCCCCCCCCCATATATACACCAGGGCCCCACTATACAGCACCTCTCTTTAGTGTTCTATATTTTTGTCAGCTTTCAACCGAGCCATTTTTCTTTACGTTCGATGTTTTTACTGCTCTTCCGCCATTTTCCGACAATACTTGCATAAAGGAAGGGCAACAAGCACCATATTTTAAGTACTGTACGCGATGTGTATTTATTTTACTTTTAATTATTTTTTATGCCTAGTTGTACTGAGCACTTAATATATGGTAGTGTAAACAACTTAATATATGGTAGTGTAAACAACTTATGAAGCGTTTTAGATGCATTTGATAAAGCTGGCGATTTTTACTTATCACTTGGCGGTCAGGAAGCTGACAGCCATACAAATGAGGCCCCATGTTTGTTCACTTTTTTGGGAGGTAACGATGGCAGCATTGAGATGCTAGTGGGCTTTTGATTTGAGGAATTGGAGTATCCCCTCCTCTCCCTTGACTGCCTTCCTCTGTTTGGCCCTTATGGGTTTAGTGTCTCCCAAGAAAATAATAATAATAATGATGTTTGGAACGAGAAGAAAACTGACATAGATCAATGTTTATTAATTACTGTTAGTTCTCAACTGTCCCACTAAGTGCCAGACATGACTTGACAGACCATCAGCGTTGACGTAACTTGATGAACCAGCAATATTTCTCAACAACACAAGAATAACAAGAATATTGCAGATTTTGAAGACAATCAAAAGAATACTGGGGGGAGAGAGAGAGAGAGAGAGAGAGAGAGAGAGAGAGAGAGAGAGAGAGAGAGAAAGAGAAAGAGAAAGAGAAAGAGAAAGAGAAAGAGAAAGAGAGAGAGAGAGAGAAGAGAAAAGAGAAGAGAGAAAGAGAAAGAGAGAAAGAGAAAGAAAGAGAGAAAGAAAGAGAGAGAGAGAAAGAGAGAGAGAAAGAGAGAGAGAGAGAAAGAGAGAGAGAGAGAGAAAGAGAGAGAGAAAGAAAAAGAGAGAGAAAGAAAGAAAGAGAGAGAAAGAAAGAAAGAAAGAAAGAGAAAGAAAGAGAGAGAAAGAAAGAGAACGAGAGAAAGAGTGAGAGAGAAAGAGATAACGAGAGAAAGAGAGAGAGAGAGAACGAAAGAGTGAGAGAGTGAGAGAACGAGAGAAAGAGAGTGAGAGAACGAGAGAGAGAAAGAGAGAAAGAGAGTGAGAGAGTGAGAGAATGAGAGAAAGAGAGAAAGAACAAGAGAAAGAGAGAATGAGAGAGAGAGAGAGGAGAGAAGGAAAGAGAAAGAGGGAGACAGAGATAGAGATAAAGAAAGCAAGGTTGCCAGCAGTAAACAGCGTTCATCTCAAAACCTCAGCAGAATTCAACCAACACACAACTTACCATCAATCCTCAGCTACACTTAACACAGAGCACTCCTCTTTTTCAATCCTCCTCATCCACACTCAACTGACATGTTTGCTCATGTCTTGTTTCCTGTTATCTTTTCAAGATGACAAAGATATACAAACTAATTTTTTCCCAGATGTGTGCACAATACAAGCAATTTTGACCTATTGATGTACTCTAAGTTAGGTCTACATTGTGAGGAGAGGATACTACAGCCTGTCATATGCCATATTGCAATACACCCAAACCATGGAACAGGTGGGATTTGTACCCATGGCAAGAGAACCGTAAAACTCCAAGCATGGAATTTTAGCATCACTTGTTATGAGTTCAAATCCCACCTGTTCTGTGGCTGGTTAAGTCATGTTATCACTATTTCGCAAATCACACGCCCAATTGTAAGGCGATTTAAAAATTAATACACTTAAATACAGGAAGTCCTCAACTTATGAAGACATTGGGGACCTTCTGAATTGTGTATAACAATATTAGACACAATAATGATATATTGAACATTAAAATGGTATAAAATACCGACAGGTTGTTAGGTAAGACACACATGCAACAGTTAGGCATCTTTATTTCGAAACGTTTTGCCTACACAGTAGGCTTCTTCAGTCGAGTACAGAAAAGTTGATAGAAGCAGAAGATACTTGAAGACGATGTAATCAGTCCATCACCCTTAAGTGAGAACGGCTGGATTTGAGAGGGACCTGACCTCCCAACATCTGAGTTCTTACCTCTTCTAGTGACCTACGTCTCACCTCTTGGCGCTATATAAGGCTCCATCCTGTCACTTCATCTCCATATTGTTTCATTCTATGGAACAATGCTCTTCTCCAGACTGAGGGACTGACCACCTCAAAACTTTAAGGGTGATGGACTGATTACATCGTCTTCAAGTATCTTCTGCTTCTATCAACTTTTCTGTACTCGACTGAAGAAGCCTACTGTGTAGGCGAAACGTTTCGAAATAAAGATACCTAACTGTTGCATATGTCTTACCTAACAATAATGATATAATAATGATACAGTATTATATACAATACACAAAATTCTCAACGTGTCTGTAAGCCAAGGACTTACTGTACTGTATTAGTAGTATACTGTAGCAACCAAAATTTTAATCTGGGGAGGTGACGAAAACCTAAGAATCATTAGATGCAAAAAAAAGTAAAAACTCTCTTATAAACATGAGGTTTTTAGTGCATATCTGAAATTTCATAGTCTATCCTATCACTGTGGTAGCGGGTTAATACAGTGAAAATTAACCAGTACTCGAAGAAGTCAAAATTGTTTGCATTTGGGATCCTTTAGTCCCGTTAGTGACACTATCCCATTAGCAACACTGCCCCATTAGCGACACTGCCCCATTAGTGACACTCCCATCAGTGACACTGCCCCATTACAACACTACCTCATTAATGACACTACCCCATTAGCAACACTCGTCCCATGATCAATTTTTCTTTGAAGAATCAATTCTAACAGACTGTCAATAACAAATAATACTTTCCCATTTTGGCACACCAAATACATAATAATACTGTCCGCAAATACTTTTTTGAGTACAGTCTCTCCTCACTTAAAGACAGGGATCCATTCCTAAAAGTAAGTTGGTAAACGAATTGGTTGTTAAGCGAGGAGCATACTGTGCTGGTAGTGGGTTTGTGTCTGCCATCTTTGATATTGTTTTAATGTCTTCTTTGAACCAAATATAACATTTTTAGTAAATTTTTATATGTTTATACAGTAATATACTGTATACTGTAATAAACAAAACAGAGGAAATCAACTCTAATATATATTATTTAGGCAGGCATGCTGGTCAGAGCCCGTCATAAGTCCGAGCCGTTGGTAAACGAGTACGTCACTAAGTGAGGAGAGGCTGTATATGCATTGTATGAGCATTTAGAGTATAATTATAGACCACAAACTTTGTTATAGAGCTTCCTTATCACTTTTAGTTTGATTATTGTATAAGATTAAGCCAAGTGGTCTATAATTAAAAAATTGGGATGTTGAATCCATTGTGTCATACTGTGATTAATAAGGTCAGGAAATGACAAGGAAACTCCTGGACTTTGTCGCTCAAATTGTTGTTCCTTGGACTTTAACCCTTGGACTTCATCCCTCAAACTTCAACCCTTTGACTTAAGCCCTCCACTTCATCACTCAGACTTCACCACTTTGACTTGGGCCACAAAACATTCATGCACTCACCCTCTCCACACACTAGTGTACCACCACCTACCACCTACACTCACACACTCTTGGACATGATCTACTTCCACTAGGCAATCCTCCAGGGCATAACCTACTTGCACTTGGCAATCCTCTAGGGCATGATCAACTTCCACTGGGCAATCCTCTAGGGCATGACCAACTTCCACTGACAATCCTCTTGGACACGACGTACTTTCACTGGTCAATCCCATCTACAACTGACAATGCCTTCATCTCTGACTCCAGTATATAAGCCCATTTCTTCGTGCCAGTGCTTCAGATTCACCAAGACAACGGTACTGAACACCTGCTCCTAGGCTGAGGGATTGATTACCTCGTCTTCTACCTCTTCGGTTGTCTGTATTGTACTGATGAATCAACTGGTTGGTGAAGCAACTACTTAATAAAGAAATCTAGCTGTCTCACAAGCTCTTCACCTTGTCACGATTATATACTGAAGTATACCTGGAGAGGGTTTCGGGGGTTCAACGCTCCCGCAGCCAGGTCTGTGACCAGGCCGATTTTACACGAATAACCTGCACATAATAATATAATAACAATATTAATATAATTTTTAGTTTGACATGATACATGGTTATACAAAGGAATATAATAGTTGGACCACTAACTAGCGTAGGAGTCTCCAACTTTTTTACTATGGGTGCCACATCATGTATTTCACATATTTTTTTGTAGGCTAGAGAAAAAATCGGTCTTATACATATAAATGAATGAGTGAATAAGAGGGTTTATTAGTTTTAATATTTATAAGTATTTGAAGTTGCCATGGCCGCATGTGGCCTGCGGGTTGCAGTTTGCCGACCCCTGAACTAGCAACTAATTAACAGTCCAAGTCAGACTGATATGTCGTCATAAATTTTCTTTTTCCCGTGTGTGGGTTACAGTGAGTCCCCAAATTATGAACATGTTGGGGACCTCCTGTATTATGTATAATAATGATATTATACACAATAATGATATAATGATGATGTTACACAATACAGAAGATTGTCAGTGTGTTCATAACCTGAGGACTCGCTGTATTTGTGTACTGTTCCAGTCACAGTATTAACCAAGCTTTTTAAAGCCATATAACATGAACTAACAGAATATTCAATTTTCCTGTATTCACTGTAACTCACCTAATAACTATAGGTACAATTACTACACTGTTATTGCCTTATTGATCTTAAGTTAGTCTTAAGTTTGCCTGAAATGCTCTATATATAAAGTTTTTTTTCGGCATGTACATCCAACCGTTATACTCCTTTGTACAAACACGTATCATGCTGAAATAATATTATTACTCTTATTCTGTGTCTTGTTCTTAAATAGTCTTTACGCATCAAGTGTTTATTTGCCTAGAATGCATTTCATATCAGTGGCCTTCATTTGTTCCTAACAATATTTATTACATGTAAACTACGTTATTTCTGTACCACAAAGAAATGAAATTTTTGAATCTGAATTGATGTTTGGATACTGCTAGGTAAATAGATCATATTTTTTTGTAAATTAAAAAAGGGTGCGTCTAACAATGAAGAGTATGTACTATAAGTCTTTTCATGTGCTATTCAATTATGGATATAACTTTTAATCGCATATACAAAAGAAAACTAAAATTTTTCTTTTTAGGTTATGAGGACCAACCGTAACAGATACACAAATGACAGCAACGAACACTCGGAAACCTCAGCCAACAAGTCAGAGTCACCAAGATACTGATTAACCAACAACAATCACCAAAACAAGGGAAGAAAGTAATGGAGGGGAGGATTTTGCCCGCCTCATGGGCAAGTTCCTTTCCTAGTGTTCCAACTTATGAACGAGTCATTTGTAACACTGAACTTATCCTCCCACAGCAAACATCAGTCAAGAGGATAATCATGTCACAGACACTCAGCAGCGTATGCAAAATAACTACTGAAAAAATAGTGAACTTCCAAGTGCTTTCACGAAGGTGCTTGGAAATTCACTATTTTATCACAGTGGTTGTTTTGCATACTGTGATATCACCTGTTTATTGTAACACTCGTTAAAATATAATTTACTTGATACTGTGTGTTTTAGGTCTAGTTTGTGAGCATCATAACTTGGGCATTTGTAAGTTAGAGTACCTCCCCTCCCAGCACAGTTTTCCTGAAGGGCATCAGAAACCACACTACCAACAGGAGAGAGGGACTTGTCTAGTCCTTATTAACGGGCTTGAGAACTAAACTGCTGGACCAACTGTCCACGTTTGGTCATTAACGGGCCATTGCAAAAAGCTTAAACTTAACCACTGGCTCGAGCAATGCTGATTGATCAGTGTAACGGGTTACTGCTGCAAGCTTTGGCTAAACTGCTGGCTCATTGATATTTACTCAGTCAAAAAAGTTACCAGACGAACTAAATTGACGTTCTGAGTAATAATATTAGAAGTATTATGAGACAGGTTTTTGTATCTGGCACTATCGCAATTATTATTATTATTCTTAATACTGCAAAATCCTTGCCTAGTAGGCCACACTTTCTACTGCCGAAATTTAGATCACTACGCGAGCTTGAAAAAAACACTGAAATAAAGGATAAGTGAGGAAAGTGGTGAGCAAGAAGGAAGCAAGAGAAAAGACGCTAATAATCAGCGGGAGAGCTCACAACCACCTGGTGCAAACATTTTGCGGCGGCCATCTTGCACGCTATCCAAAGCTGCTGTCTGGCCGCCCATCACACCTTCATAAAACATATGGGATTCGTAAGCAACTACAATGCCTCACTTTTAAACACTGTTCCCTGTACATTGTTAAGTATTTACAAACAGTACAACACCGACTAACTTTCAACAGTAAAGTTTGACTCTTTGTTTCCCTACGGATGAATATCTTCGGAATCTTATTAACTACAATAACTGGCTATCTTCTTCTAACACTTGTATCAGTTGCCTGCTGACACAGAGTAACAACTGTGAGATAGCAAGGGCCTCAACCTTGCATCAATGCCACCTTGAGAAAGATACTGAAACCTCGCATCAATACTAAGAGTGTCATCCCTAGACATGGCAAGCCGCCTCACCATGTACATCCCTGAACGGAGTGAAAATCCCCGCACCACTTATGATGCTCTGCGCCTCCCGTCCCTTTACCGTAGCTGTGAGCAACCCTTGCATCTCAGAGCTGGCATGTCAGATTAAGGAATTATTTATATCAAATATCTGCTATCACCATAATGAGACCACAAATCACTTCAGAGTTGGTACCACTTCTTATCCTTGTACTTGAGCATAAGTTGGTGTGCAGCCGACGAGAAGGATTCCGCCTCGTTCATCATCTTGCCGGTTCGTTCCTCCAGCTCGCCCAGCTTCTGTCCTCGTTCCACCAGCTGCATGCGAGTTTTGTTGATGTCGCCAGCTACTGTCCCAGCACGTACATTGAGGGACTCCAGCTGGGAGGTGGGGCCAGGCACATGTTTGGCAACACTGCGGGAGCCTTTCCCAGATGCCTCACCAACTAGAAAAAAACAGGCGAGGAATTAGACACACGTGCAACACCTGCGTATCTTCATTTAAAGTTTATTATCAACGATATATAATAAGTTAATAATTGACACACGTTAGCCAAAACCTGCACATCTTCGTTTAAAGTCGTTTAGCCAACTACCATATTTATTAATTCATTACAAATTTTATTACACAAAAACTTGCATATATGAGAAAACTAACATTGTGGTCCAACTTGGACCATTAACTAGCCACACACACTGAGATACCATAAACCTGTAGTCAGTCATTTACTTTCCAATACTGGTATTTACTTTTCAATACTGCTGCAAAAGGCAGCAGTCAGAATAACAAATTCCCACTCTTGACAGCATGTTCCACCAATATTCAAAAGTCTGAATCTGCTCACCATTAAGAACATCCATACTTATTCATGTGCCTACTACATGCACAGAACAATACACACAAATATAAACCCTCCACTCAAACTTCTCCTCACCAACCTAAACAGGCCACATGACCACAACACAAGACACAGATCTCTTTTTGATATACCTCGTGTCCATATCACACTGTGTAAAAACTCTATGCACATAAAGGGCCCAAAAATTTGGAATTCATTACCAGAAAATACCAAAGTAACCCGGTCTGAAAATTAATTTAAGACTCTTCTCAAAAGCCACTTAATCATCCTAGACTAAATACACAATATTCAATATTTAACACAACCAATAAATCTACCAATTACCTAAATCTTAAAACTTCATAACTAGACAACCTAGCTCATATACTGACAAATTACCACATAGAAGTATACATACCTACCAAAACCTGTATTACCCTTCACCAAATTGTAGCAGTCTCATACTGTACACTACTGTAAACTACTGTAAACTGTCAACTACTGCAAACTACTGTAAACTACTGTACACTACTGTAAACTACTGTAAACTGTCAACTACTGCAAACTACTGCAAACTACTGTAAACTACTGAAAACTACTGTCAACTACTGTCAACTACTGTCAACTACTGCAAACTACTGCAAACTACTGTCAACTACTGTCAACTACTGTCAACTACTGTAAACTACTGTAAACTACTGTCAACTACTGTCAACTACTGCAAACTACTGCAAACTACTGCAAACTACTGTAAACTACTGTAAACTACTGTAAACTACTGTCAACTACTGTCAACTACTGTAAACTACTGTAAACTACTGCAAACTACTGCAAACTACTGCAAACTACTGCAAACTACTGTCAACTGTCAACTACTGCAAACTACTGTCAACTACTGTAAACTACTGTCAACTACTGTCAACTACTGTCAACTACTGTCAACTACTGCAAACTACTGTCAACTACTGTCAACTACTGTCAACTACTGTAAACTACTGTAAACTACTGTAAACTACTGCAAACTACTGCCAACTACTGTCAACTACTGTCAACTACTGTCAACTACTGTCAACTACTGTAAACTACTATAAACCACTGTAAACCACTGTCAACTACTGTCAACTACTGTCAACTACTCTAAACCACTGTAAACTGTCAACTACTGTAAACTACTGTCAACTACTGTAAACTACTGTAAACTACTGTCAACTACTGTAAACTACTGTCAACTGTCAACTATTGTAAACTGTCAACTACTGTAAACTACTGTAAACTACTGTAAACTGTCAACTACTGTAAACTGTCAACTACTGTCAACTAAACTACTGTCAACTACTGTAAACTGTCAACTACTGTCAACTAAACTACTGTAAACTACTGTAAACTGTCAACTACTGTAAACTGTCAACTACTGTAAACTACTGTCAACTACTGTAAACTACTGTCAACTGTCAACTACTGTAAACTGTCAACTACTGTAAACTGTCAACTACTGTAAACTGTCAACTACTGTCAACTACTGTCAACTAAACTACTGTAAACTACTGTAAACTGTCAACTACTGTAAACTGTCAACTACTGTAAACTACTGTCAACTACTGTAAACTACTGTCAACTGTCAACTACTGTAAACTGTCAACTACTGTCAACTACTGTAAACTACTGTCAACTGTCAACTACTGTCAACTATTGTAAACTACTGTCAACTACTGTAAACTACTGTAAACTGTCAACTACTGTAAACTGTCAACTACTGTAAACTGTCAACTACTGTCAACTACTGTCAATTACTGTCAACTACTGTCAACTACTGTAAACTGTCAACTACTGTAAACTGTCAACTACTGTAAACTACTGTAAACTGTCAACTACTGTAAACTACTGTCAACTGTCAACTACTGTCAACTACTGTCAACTATTGTAAACTACTGTCAACTACTGTAAACTACTGTAAACTGTCAACTGTCAACTACTGTAAACTGTCAACTACTGTCAACTACTGTCAACTAAACTACTGTAAACTACTGTAAACTGTCAACTACTGTCAACTACTGTAAACTACTGTCAACTGTCAACTACTGTAAACTGTCAACTACTGTCAACTACTGTAAACTACTGTCAACTGTCAACTACTGTAAACTGTCAACTACTGTCAACTACTGTAAACTACTGTCAACTACTGTCAACTATTGTAAACTACTGTCAACTACTGTAAACTACTGTAAACTGTCAACTACTGTAAACTGTCAACTACTGTCAACTACTGTCAATTACTGTCAACTACTGTAAACTACTGTAAACTACTGTAAACTACTGCAAACTACTGTCAACTACTGTCAACTACTGTCAACTACTGTAAACTACTGTAAACTACTGTAAACCACTGTAAACCACTGTCAACTACTGTCAACTACTGTCAACTACTCTAAACCACTGTAAACTGTCAACTACTGTAAACTACTGTCAACTACTGTAAACTACTGTAAACTACTGTCAACTACTGTAAACTACTGTCAACTGTCAACTACTGTAAACTGTCAACTACTGTAAACTACTGTCAACTGTCAACTACTGTCAACTATTGTAAACTACTGTCAACTACTGTAAACTACTGTAAACTACTGTAAACTGTCAACTACTGTAAACTGTCAACTACTGTCAACTAAACTACTGTAAACTACTGTAAACTGTCAACTACTGTAAACTGTCAACTACTGTAAACTACTGTCAACTACTGTAAACTACTGTCAACTGTCAACTACTGTAAACTGTCAACTACTGTCAACTACTGTAAACTACTGTCAACTGTCAACTACTGTCAACTATTGTAAACTACTGTCAACTACTGTAAACTACTGTAAACTGTCAACTACTGTAAACTGTCAATTACTGTCAACTACTGTCAACTACTGTAAACTGTCAACTACTGTAAACTGTCAACTACTGTAAACTACTGTAAACTGTCAACTACTGTAAACTACTGTCAACTGTCAACTACTGTCAACTACTGTCAACTATTGTAAACTACTGTCAACTACTGTAAACAACTGTAAACTACTGTCAACTGTCAACTACTGTAAACTGTCAACTACTGTAAACTGTCAACTACTGTCAACTAAACTACTGTAAACTACTGTAAACTGTCAACTACTGTAAACTGTCAACTACTGTAAACTACTGTAAACTGTCAACTGTCAACTACTGTAAACTGTCAACTACTGTAAACTGTCAACTACTGTCAACTAAACTACTGTAAACTACTGTAAACTGTCAACTACTGTAAACTGTCAACTACTGTAAACTACTGTCAACTACTGTAAACTACTGTCAACTGTCAACTACTGTAAACTGTCTACTGTCAACTACTGTAAACTACTGTCAACTGTCAACTACTGTCAACTACTGTCAACTATTGTAAACTACTGTCAACTACTGTAAACTACTGTAAACTGTCAACTACTGTAAACTGTCAACTACTGTCAATTACTGTCAACTACTGTCAACTACTGTCAATTACTGTCAACTACTGTAAACTGTCAACTACTGTAAACTGTCAACTACTGTAAACTGTCAACTACTGTCAATTACTGTAAACTGTCAACTACTGTAAACTACTGTAAACTGTCAACTACTGTCAACTACTGTCAATTACTGTCAACTACTGCCAACTACTGCCAACTACTGTCAATTACTGTCAACTACTGTCAACCACTGTCAACTACTGTAAACTACTGTCAACCACTGTCAACCACTGTCAACCACTGTAAACTACTGTCAACCACTGTCAACCACTGTCAACCACTGTAAACTACTGTCAACCACTGTCAACCACTGTCAACTACTGTCAACCACTGTCAACCACTGTCAACTACTGTCAACCACTGTCAACCACTGTCAACTACTGTCAACCACTGTCAACCACTGTCAACTACTGTCAACCACTGTCAACCACTGTCAACCACTGTCAACCACTGTCAACTACTGTCAACTACTGTCAACCACTGTCAACTACTGTCAACCACTGTCAACTACTGTCAACCACTGTCAACCACTGTCAACTACTGTCAACCACTGTCAACTACTGTCAACTACTGTCAACCACTGTCAACCACTGTCAACTACTGTCAACCACTGTCAATTACTGTCAACCACTGTCAACTACTGTAAACTACTGTCAACCACTGTCAACCACTGTAAACTACTGTCAACCACTGTCAACCACTGTAAACTACTGTAAACCACTGTCAACCACTGTCAACCACTGTCAACTACTGTCAACCACTGTCAACTACTGTCAACCACTGTCAACTACTGTCAACCACTGTCAACCACTGTCAACTACTGTCAACCACTGTCAACCACTGTCAACCACTGTCAACCACTGTCAACTACTGTCAACTACTGTCAACCACTGTCAACCACTGTCAACTAGTGTCAACCACTGTCAACTACTGTCAACCACTGTCAACCACTGTCAACTACTGTCAACCACTGTCAACTACTGTCAACTACTGTCAACCACTGTCAACTACTGTCAACCACTGTCAACCACTGTCAACCACTGTCAACCACTGTCAACCACTGTCAACCACTGTCAACTACTGTCA